TTTTACCAAGAGAATTTTAACCCCGGAACACCGACATTTGTCTTACCAAGAACGTTGCCGGCTTACAGGCCTCGATCCTTTATGGTTCCGTAGATTACAAAAGGGACTATTTTTGCTATTTAAACTCTTATATAATCACACACTTAACCCACTCACCTCTTTAGGACATCATATCCACCCACGACGTAACAGTCACCGTGCGGTCTTCTTATTTCTGCCTCTGGCACGTACTGTTAAATATCGTCGGTTCTTTTCTGTAAATGCAATTGCTATTTGGAATAAACTACCAATGAGTGTGAAAACTCTGCAAAATTATCCTTTATTTAAGAGAACTATTACTCGATTTTTGCATTCAGAAAAGCTCCCACAAATTTTGGGTGCTGAATCCACTGATCGACTGTACCGTAGCGATGGCGTTTGTGGTCTCTGAACACTATGGCCGGTCTCACCAGCTCTTCCTGAACGCCTCTACTTTGACTATCCCCAACTTCATGAAAGGAATTTGGCGTCCGATAATCTCCGATACCGTGCAACCTCCCCCCTTCTTGACGGTCGATATTCTACCACCGCCGACAGTTTTTTTTCTCCTGAGTCCTCCAAACCACAAAAACCACCATCACCTATATTTTTATGCCTTAAGCTCAGGAGTTTTTTTTTCACTGCTGGTCGGATTTGTGTTTAATCTCTTCCCTTGACAATGCCTGTAAACTGGCATTAAATTAAAAATTTAACTAAAGTCCACTGCTATCGACGAAAATAGTTTGACAAGAATTGGTGGATTTGTGCTCCTAGATGAAAGTCTTTTAGCTTCAGGGACTCTAACGTTGAAGCCGCGTTATTAAAGAAAGTGGAAAGCGACATCAATTGGCTGTCTACTCTTAGGAACGTTTTTTAAAATAAAGTTATAACTTCGTTTGTGCCTGTCTTCTATCTCAATAACAACCAGGTCAATGAGAGGCGTGAGCTTCTCACGCTGTTGAGACGCAAGTGTTGGCAACTTTCCTTCCAGAAGGGCATCAAGACCAAAAAAATTTATCCGTAACTAGACATAAAATTGTTAAAATTATAGAGTGCCACTAGGTCTAGTTTTTTCATAGGTACAATGGGTTTTAATTGGAGTTTAGTATCCTTCGGAGGTCGACGAAGGGTTGCCTGAGGTTTCATGTCGAAAATGCAAAACAAGACTTTAGTCCAAAAGTGTATTGTGATGATACCGGTCGAAAATTCAAGGAGATATGTATGAGGCTATGTACGATGAAACAATTTCTGAAAGCTATCAATTTTGGTGGGCCAGACAACACAATTGCTACTAAGCAATTTTAACTCAATAACGGAATACAAGCTTAAAAAACGGGTGAATGACAATAAAGTAGGTGGCAAAACAAAACCGTGAGTAAGTTTGAATTGGATAATGAGGCTATGTAGGATAAAATAGAAAACATTATAATTGTCTTACTAGTCAATAAGACGACAATAAAAGCGATAAGTGGAGACGGTCTATCGTTTAAAATATAATGCTATCCAACATTTTACGAGGAAAACCTTTTATATAAGCGGGTAAAACTTACTATAATTAAGGCTATGTTGGGTGAAAGACTATGATACTATATTTCCGCTTTATGATAAATCGACAAAACACGACGGGAAGCTAAGATTATTTATAACAAAAAATAGGAAATTTTGTCAGATCTACACTGGAAAACCCTGCAAGAGATTAAAAAAACGAATTCAAAAATATGACTTTCACTAATCTTTTCAAAATCGTGCTGCGTGCGTTGACCTTGTCAGTTGTTCAAGATGGCTTGGACGGATCCTCACCTTGGCGTTCCACTCCGCACCCCTGGTCCACACAACAAATTGCCAGGTTTCTGACCAATACAACAGAGATGGGAGTCTTACATGGCCGAAGCCGCACCTAGGCGTGCTGTCAACGCCCAGCTCGGATCCCCATACGGTGGGAGTGCCATAAAGGCCACATTAAGAAGGAGCCATTGCCGTTTGAATCTCAGACCTCCAGTCGAGGAGGTCCAAGTTATCCCGTCAGTTGGCAACCTTCAAAGCCACGGTTTTTAGCGCACCGTGATAGCTTTAAGCGCGTGAGATTATTTATAGTGGAGGGGAAAATGCGCTGAGTCGTCGACCTCACTCTCCCTTCCGATTCTCACACCCCAGCCATTGTCCGAGCCGGTCAGCAGGCTGAAGCGGGGAATGGGCGCGGTGGCTGGGATGGTCAAGTACCATGTCTGCGTGCGCCAAGTGCACGACCTGGCGTCCCATACACACAAACACCAGTATTTCGTTCAACGGGTTTGAATGGCGCGTCTCTCACTTGCATGAGAGGTCCGTGGAAGGGGCTGTTTCAGCCTCTCTCCCACCCCACCAGTCTGCCACTCCACACAACTCACACAATTAGACGGGCTGCAAGACCGAGTGGGGCGTCAATTAGCAGCCTTCCTATCCACGACACTTGACGTGTCGGGATAGACAGACTGAAGTCGCCTATCCAGCATAAGCCGCCCGGGGACAAAGTCAAGATACAAACTTTCCATTTGCGTGGTAGGGGGCAGTTGGGTGCTTGCGGTGGGTGAGTGTTGATGTGTGGTGGGGTGGTGGTGAGGCAGGGACGGTGTGATGGCGTGATGCAGCCGGCAGTTGTCTACCACAGGTGGTTGTGGATGCTCATGTGGCCGAATAGGCCCATGAAATGCGTGAATGTGCGAGGACAGCGTGGGCAGTGGGGGCGAGTGTGGTTGGTGTAGGTTGGTGCCTCATGCACTGGTTCTCCAATCTCTGTGCAATGGATTCGCAAGTGACCGATCAGACCGATGTGTGAGGTGAAGGTGCGGTCGGAGTGGGGGCGGGTGTTGTCCTGCATCGTGTGCCATTTGAACAATTGCTAATGCAGATGGCGTGCAATCAGCGATTCAGTTAGCAAATATACTACGCTTTACCACAGTAATACAGTTCATGGTAAAGATTTAAGTACCTATCTCACAAAAATAACTTAAACGCCACAAAGTTCTTTATGCGGAAATGTCCAGTTCCTTGAACCTATCCACCGTGTATGTAAGGGCGTTTGGAACAGCTTATTTTCTACTTGACGCAATCAATAAGCCTTTTACTGAATTTGACAAAGACTTCTTATGTAAGATATTCAAAACAATTATTAGATAGCATTCGAAATACGTGGTTAAGGCAATGTGACTCTTGGCTGTTGTCAAGCAGCTGGGAGAAAGAGGGAGAGAAAGAGAGAGAACTAGAGAATGGGTGAGTGAGTTACCCTTCATTTTGGAGGTATCATCCCAAAATTTTTAACAGACAAAATCTACATTCGCTAAGAGCCAAATGCGCACGCACAACAGACAACAAAAGAAAATCGTAAGCGATAACTACCGAAGAGGACAACAGTCGGCGTCATGAAGAACCAATATTGAACGAATCGCAAAATTCACGTCAGATTCGACTTCCTTCAAAACGATGCTAACGTGGTGTTCAAATGACCTCTTTTTTCTTCTATCTTTGTTATCTTTTAGCAGTCAAAATTTCTGAAATGCAGCGAGGATTTGGCTGTGTGGTATGTAACGCAGACATGTTCAAACTGATTTTACGTAACTGTAAAATGCAAGACCGGTGCGGTTTTGTTCATAATAACCATTTTATCGCATCATCCAACTGGCAGGCCAAGCACCAAGACTTGCGGAAGTTTGTGTTTTAATAGTCACAGAAGTCTTGGCAAGAGATAACTGTCAAAATTATGACTCTCCGAATCTGCTAAACCTAAAGCACCTTTGGCTGGTACAAACGTCATTATAAACTTTGAAAAAACCAAGCTTTGTTTTAATACTTCGCAAAGTCAGAGGACGCACTGCTCAACAATTTAAAACAGCTGGTGCCCCCCGTAGCGCCGATTTTATTCTCCTTCTTGTCCCCCTATACGTTTATTTCCTTAACAGCCTCACAGAAACGTGTCATTTTTGCAATATTTTTAAAACCTGTTAAGTCGCGAAACTCGCTTTTTTCTTTGGACTCGTTGCCAACTTTAAAGTTGTCGGCGGCGTCCGGCTAAGGTCTAAACGCGTGAATTGCTATCATCATTTGCACTTGACTAGCATCTTTCCACCCAGTCCACTTCCGCTCCCCACTGCACGTCTCCACCCACCGGTCATAGATAGGAATGAGTGATCTCGAATCTTTATTTTAATACCGGCGCCCAGCGCTAGTCCGGTCGCTGAGCCGCGGGCTAGTGTTTCGATGGACTGAATTTTTTCAGCGATCTTGGCAGATATTGTCTACACGCGTGCAGCAAGTTGAGGCGCCTTCTCGGGCGAGTTGGGGACGTTGTCGCCCGAGGCGATTTAAATCTCCAGGCAGGCGTCTAAAGTTCTGGATAAAGTGCATGCGTGCGTACGCGCAAAGAGACGCCACAGGCGTGACGTCCAAAATGCACGGGTGAGCATCGAGTACCGTCAACCAATTGGATTACTAGCCGTGCACTAGCCTGCAAATCAAACGGACTAGCAAATATCTAGCCCTGGACGCCTAAATGCTATCATGGACCCCACTTTTTCACTTCAGCGCAGTTTCTTTTGATGTCTTATCATTGTCTTACAGGTTGGTTTGTGGAACATGAATGTGGGCAATAGCTGTTTGCAGCTGAAGGAAAAAGTGGAGAAGATTGGCAGCGACTTGGACACTGTAATCCTCCGACACTTCAGGAGCACTATTCGGAAGATCCAGGCCCATTATCCGGATTTTGCCGTCCCTGACTTCTCTTTCGAGCTTAGTTCACAAACAACATGTTCAGTAAGTACAAACCCACCAGGTTTTAAGACTTGCATTATTGGGCAGCTTTAATATGTTGTAGATCTCAAAATTGACTTGGTTTTTGACCACATGTGGGCTCTGTAGTTCCCCTCTTCCACGGTACAACGGAATCCTTCACCAAAAGCATAGCTCCACTGCCCATAAATTCAGTTCAGACTCGAAACAAGTTAATTGCAGATTCCCATCTCTTGGTGTATTTGTGCAGCAAAGGACGAGCGGACCATCGTACCGCAAGTATACATGTGCTGTCTTCATTTTTCATTGTCGAATAGCTACTCGGTCCTTCATAAATGAGGCTACACCAACAGTTAGCTATTTCAGACAAAAAGCCGCTAATCAGTGTACACAACTTACCGAGCGAAAATAAAATGCTGCGACTTGATCATCCGAAATGGTGCACCTAACTTGTGCACCATAAAAACTGTTGGATAAGATTATTTATCAGACACCATTTACTGGCCGCGATGCAGTCCGCTGAACTGAAGCAGGGGCATTCGCGTACGAACGCTAGCCAGACATGGGGAGGTGAGACCACTTATCACAAGTCACTATACTCATGCTTAACGCAGGACCCAGGTGAGACTGAGGAAGAACCCCCATTGTCAGGCTACTCATCTAGGGAAGGCCATGATTTTGTTGGCACAATGCGTCAAACTGAAGCATCATCGAGCACGCCGATTTGTTTGTCATGTGCAAATCTCCCCAAGCCAAATTTGAGGGACACAGCCGGTTCCAATGACTATGCAGCAGACTCATGTTGGCATTAACGTCAGCTGGCCATAAAGTCTTTACGTTGTTTTTTTTGCCCATTTATCATAGTCGAGATGAACCAAAGAACCGGTCTCAAGGACTTTCGAGTCTTGTTTACTTTTTAAAATTTTTCATACGTTGAATAGGAAAATTCGGAATCCGCGGGGAATTATATATTTGTCTAACTTTACACTCGTACTTGGGACACATGGACGTGACAAATGCATATTAGATAGGTCTCTCTTGATAGTATCTGAGTGACCTCGGCAAATTTTTCGCTGGTCTCCCTTCGTCCTTGTGGTTGCGAACGACAGTTCGGGCTGATGTCAAGTCAACTCGGCGGTTTATCGGTTAGACTTTCGATTTGCATGCCTCTATTATTTTTCGGACAACCTCATCTCCCACCCTGCCATGCACTTGTCTGCTCTTAAAGGCATGCTGATGATCGTCCTTGAGACTGCTCATGGTGACATGAGGAAGCACGTCCTTGCTTCTCACTGCCAGCTAAAACTCGTGCACTGTCACCTGCGGGAGTTTATCGATCACTCCATTGTAGTTAGCTGGACAATTTTAGCAATTTTTTTAGTGGTTAACCTCTTACGCCTTTTGATAATACACGATCAGTGGGTCTTCAAATACCGGTCTGAGGCAACAATCACCACCTACTCATGCATCCAAGGGCCATATTTCTCAGGAGGAACCTTTTACGCGAATTTTCTCAACTTTTATCTCTGGAAGTAGGTGGACCCCAGTCACATATTTCTTGGCTAACGAAGATGTCTCCAGTGCTTAGAGGTAATAGGACCAAAAAGGTTCAGCGCTTCCTTTTAACGCCCGTCAAGTCAGTCTTTTGACAGATGCCGCCGTGGCAGTGGGGGGAAAACCAACATTTTATGTGTCAGTACTCCTGTACGGGTCTACAGTTGGTCCGGCCATGCGTATTCGAGGAATTTTGTAAGACTAAATAATAGTGATATCCATAAGACTCGGCCCTATACCTGCATTTCACTTAGAGGCTCACAATATCTAGATAAACCACGAAGTTATTCCCTGCGGCCCTCATTGGCCAGATCGTATCCGAATTTTTTTTACTCACGAGCGAGCATTCTCCCCTACCGCGTTCCACTGGTGGGACAGCAAACCGACTAGGCAATGAAACCTGCCTCTGGTGTTAGGGAGCGCAGGACGAAACTTCACTACGTTCGGATGAATAAGTCTGAGTTCAGCCATCGTGAACGACGCCGTCCACTACGTGTTCCACAGCAGGGTGGGCGCAGGGAGGGTGACTTGCGCGTGAATTAATTTAAAATGATAGTAGACTTACGCCGCATCTATCGTACTCCATCGCCCTTCTGGGCCCGGTGTCAAGACAGGATGGAGATGACCGGTGGCGGCATCGAGTACAGTGGCTGACAAAGCTAAACCGCATGTATGCGCTTACCATGGACCAGATTTTCACACAAATAGGGGGGATTGCTTCGATCCCACCTGAGTAGGAGTGCACTGGAGGCTCCATTTAGAAGGAGCCATTGTAGCCTGACACTACATCCTGAGAGAACCGAGTTATTCCGTCAGTTGACAGCATTCTAAGGCACGATTTTTAGAGCACCGTGGTAGTTTACAAGCGTCAGATAGTTCATAGTGAGGAATAGGCGCGTGGTGCTATGATAACGGAGTCCCCAGTCAACCTCACCTAAAGGGTGGGCTGCTTGGATCTCACACTCTATAGTCCCACCGAGGACACCTGAAGAAGGAGTCCAGAACACGCCTCACACTTACGTGAGAGATGTCTAATCTGTTTTCGAGTTTGATGATGTGGGAGGGGTTCATGCGTGGTGTGTGTTGATGGGTAGACATGTAGGGGAGTTTGGCGTCTAGTGTCTTACCGCAAATTTTTATGAAGACACATGGCTGCGTAGGCGAATGCGGTGATTGAATGTTCATGGACAGTGTGAGCGGTTGGGGCGGGCTCGACAGATGTATGTCAGTGCTCCTGGCACTTGTTCATCAGTCTCAGTGCAACGGATTCACAAGTAACCAACTAGGCCTATGCGTGCCATAAAGGTGCGACCGTAGTGAGGACAGATTCCGAGCAAGTCCACATTTCCGGTATTGAGGACGGTGGTTGGTGGGGTGTCGGGAGTCTTCTCATCGGTGGTTGGAGTGGGGATATCAGTAGTCGTTGCTGTCGTCGAAGGGGATGTAGCGGTGGTAACGGAGGTGGTAGTGTGCGTTAGCGGCAACGACGGAACGCCGGGATTTTAAATATTGGTGATGGTGATCACCGTCGAGGGCACTGTGGTGGTTGCGACAGGGATGATGGTGAAGCCGTTTCCGAGTGCAGTAGAAGGTGTCGTGTTGTTTCATTGGGTCCCAGGATGTCCGACGAAGTTGATCAGCTTACGCAATGCCCGTTTACAGCATGCACACATTGAAAGTGGTGGAGTGTAGGGATTGAGGGTCTGCGGTGTTTAGGACTTACCGGCCACTCTTCTGGTTGTGACAGCGGTGACACGATTGGCTTCGTAAATTGCTGCCCCAGTCTTCACTGCTCTTCTATAAGCCCGTCGACCATGGGCAAGGTATTCAGGTATTCAGGTTGATTTGTAAGTCCCTAGGGTAGGTCCGTAGAGTGTCCCTGTAGCGTCATCATTCCCTCATGGGCAATCATCCATAGAAGAGTCGTTTGGGTAGAAGTTCTCAGCGATTTCAGGCTGAACCTCATAGCTGGCCAAAGATCTGGTTGGCTTTAGAGATCCAATGGGCCTCTTCGTCGTCGACCCCGAAATTCCGTAAGATTATGCTGTCTAGGAGTGCGAAGTTGTCGACAATGGGGAGTTGGGCTGCATTGACGGTGATGTGGGGTTCTCCAAGTGCAGACTCCGCCTCAATTGTTGGCAGTCACAAATTACCCTCTGACATACCAGTTTGTTCTTCCCCTTAATTAGCTTCCGATTTTATTATTTGCTGCCTATTATCTTACTGCCTTCCATAAGTTGACGATCTATGCCACGTTAGGAGTCGGATTTGTGGCAGACTTTCAACTGTGGTAATTCCGACCGGAGGCAAGACCTACATAACTCCATACTGTCGCTTGCCGATATTTTATCTAAATAGTTTCACAAAACAAGTCGGTTTCGAGAGGTAATTGCACACACTGGACTTCTGCCGTTTATATTTGTTTAGTATCATTATGAGAGGGATTGGGTGAAAAGATGGGCAGCACGTGAGCATAAACGCGATCTTTGTTTATGACATTCTTGCGGGATAGAGCACTCGATTGAGCATAACAGAACTGTTTTGCTGTGGTCGTTGAAAGTATTAGGCGTTCATATAGTGCTCAAGACTTGCAGCTTTCTTGAGTTGCTTTAGGAATCTCGAGAATTTATGGGTTTCTAGCAGTTCTTCGTTGATTGTTGGGCTTTGTATTAGCTCAGGCCGCCCCCGCCCACTTGATAAAGTTGAGCAAAGTTAACCACCCTGCCTCCGACCCAGCTAACAAAGTTTCATCTCAACCCGAAGTCGGCTGGGGTCTCTTGCCTTTTTTCTGCAGCATGTAGTGGAAAAAGTAGTCCTGCTTGGGATTAAAAGAAGAAGCACATTAACGACGGATGTGTGTTCTGTACAGTACTTTCACATTCTGATCCGTCCACAACTCCGCATCCGAAGAGGCCTGCCATCCCCTCCCCCAATGAGGCGTGTGCGAGTGAATAAAGAGGTGTCGGCAATTGAAGATCCACTGTTAGCTGCTTGGTGCTTGTATGAACGATTGCGACAACGATAGAGCGCGTCCTGCCTTAGCTTGCATGACCTGCCTTCTTAACTTGCTCCATATATCCATGCAAAAGTGCGAAAGTATCAATCTCTCTGGCTCCTTCCTGGTCTCCTACTTACCTCTCATGACAATCATTTCGAAGTGATGCTACTTTCGTTGCCTGCACACACCTTATTCGGATTTGTTTTAAATGAGACTATCCTGTTTTTTTTTAGCGAATCGCTGAGGACGAGGAGATGAAGGATGTCGTCAGTTCTACTCCCCAAGCAAACACTACACTTAAGAGAAGCGCATCAAGAGGGAGTAGAGCAACTGCAATGGAATCAGTCTCCAAGGCCAAAAAGACCCGGGTGGAGACTTCGTCTCCGACACAGCCTTCGTCTACGAATCTCGAAGGTCTGAAAACTCCGCCCGCGAGGGAGTCCATCTTAAAGAAGGCCGACGCCGCACCACCTCAATCCAACCAATATGTACGTGTCAGTCACTTTGCAGTGCATCCATTCCAGGGAGATATTTGACAACCTGCCCATTTTGCTCTCTCATGGGACTGGTTAAGGATAGTTTATGCTTGCGACCTTGTCCGGATAAGTAGTCCATTTCAGGGATTTGTGTTGGAATTTGAGTTTCTCTTTTTGGTAGAATAGTTTGACTCTTGCTACATGTCATTATTGACCGTTATCCTGCCTCCTTAACTGTCATCACTTAGATATAGCCTACGGAACTACAGAATTCGATCGAGTCTGTCTCCTCGGCTTTTTTAACGGGTAGCCACCATACCTGTTCCGTACGGTCAATGACACTTGACTGGATCCGGACCAATACTGTGGTCAGGATTCTTTAGTTTTGCAGTTGTCATCCGTTAGATAGTACGCTCTAACGAATACTTGACCTGCGTCACCTTACGGAAAAGAAATCCTCCTAAGAGTTTCTTTGTTAAATACAGTTTCTGCTGTGGAGGTGGTTTAAACAGTGCACCATGAACCCCCTTTGGTGATTCCTGTCAGAGAAAGCACCAGCTCCGACATCCTGCTGACCTTCTAAGTTCTCCTTGCAATTTGTCCAATGCCTTCCTCACGCCATTGCATAAGTTCTAACCATCCGTATCAACGTGCAGTCTTCGCCATCGGCGGTAGCCTACATGGTAACAAAAAGTGTTTAGATCACAACTACTGCTACAGTGGAAAAAAGGTTCGGACGGATCCATTTGCATTTTACTGTGCCAATAACCTTCACCCCTCTAATCCGTTTAGCATTAAGACCAGGTTGACAGTCTGACTTCCAATAACTATGCATTTATCCACTTTGTTGTTTTGTAAAAAAGAATAACACACAAGCGTGTCTTGTACTTGTTTTCTCACATTAATGCAAAACTAGGCAATAAAACTCCAGACATCATATTCTGCCTTAAAGATAAATAACCCTAATGCCTCTGTAATGCCTTACTGTTACATTAGAAAACTCCTGCCAGGAAAACTCCCTCTGCAACTGCGGCTCCCGTCCTAAACCAGACATACAAGAAACCCAAACCGCCGACGAATGCTGCTGCGCCTCTCACAAACCTTGTGTCTCCGACGGTGGCGTTATTTGGAGATGCACAACAACACAAAACCTCCACAGTAATTGCATCCCCAGTGGTACGGCCTCCAAAAAAATCTATTCAAAAGGTATACTGACTGGTGCGAATGCCCTTAATTCGCCTTTTCACGTGGTTTGTCGCTCACAACCCTATGCCAATTATAGTGGCCTTTTTGCCTTAAACGGTCTCAGGTGTTGGAAAGCCGTTACTTCGTCCTATGCCTAGACGTCTTCGTTCTTGCTGCTATCGCGGCCAGCATGCAGATGACAGCCCTCTCAGATGGCAGTTTAAGGTCACTAACGAGAACTCCGATTTTAACTGACCACTTCCTTTTCGGCATGCAACTCGTGGATGGTTATTCTTTAGCCCCTTCGATGTAAATTCAGGCCTTCAGGGCCCGGCACTTGACCAAAACCTTACTGTCCTGACTGCGGACCATCAGTCCTGTTTTCTCGCTAGTATTATTTTACTGCTGAAAATCCTGACCCACTTGCCTAAACTTTACCATCAATGAACCCACCAGCGTTAGCCAATTCTTCATGCTGCCCTCATTCTCACAGACTCCGACTGTTGTGCCACCGCGGTCGAGCCGGGTTTCCGCGGCCAGTATAATGACTGAGGACAGCGATGCTGGTGGAAAGCCTTCGGGAGGGAGAACTGACGAGACGTTGGAAGCCTCCTCTCTGCCCGCCGTAACTCCACCTCAGGATGTTCCTCCTACTTCCGTTCCAAGCGCCTCCAAGGTCCAGACTGCGCAGGCTGTGGGTCTTTTGCCTACAACGGCCACCCCGCAGGTGCCCTGGTCTGTTGGCGCACAGACGTGGCTCAGCCGTCTGGGTTGGTTGAAGTCGGCCAGTAAACCCACCGCCATCACTGCCGGTGCCGCCTCGTCGCTGTCAGATGTGCCAGAGGACAAGAGCGGGCCTGTGCACTCCCGGCAACCGACATCCGGTCAACAAACAGCTCGCCTGGATCTCCCGAAGACGCAGTCAAGGCTGAACTTAAAGAACACCTATACCACTCCCCGCCAAATCCTAGCCAGTAAACGTCTGCCTACTACCCTAAAACAGGGCTATCGACCAAACACGGCTAGGCCAGTTGAGGATGGTACGTCCGGCAGTCTCCATGGAATTTCCCCCTCTTAACTTACGCGGATGCCTGCATAGTTATTTTTTTGGTGAAATTTCTATCCGTAGCGGCGAAGAACGAAAGTGAGGATAAGCTTGTGTAGGAGCGGAAGATGCTTACCCATACTGCTTATTATAACCGAGTTAAAACTTGAAATGTGTCCTGACCTGTCCTGATTTTTGTGAATCACCTTCAGAATACTTGGTGCTTATTTTATCGACTGTCACCCGTCAGGCCCTGCATATGTTTCGTCTGTTTGGAACAATTTCACAAACCTAAATGCTGTCTCCTTGCCCATGGCGTGCGTGCTGTGGTCGCCGTCCGTCACACGCCACTCTTGTGCTGGTTAACTTTATGGCATTATCTTTGCGAGAAGTCCTAGCAACTCGCGACAGCAGGTAGAAGCATCATCCCCTGTTTGGGCGCCCGATGCTGGTTTCACACATCGATTTATTGAAACTTGACCGGAGGACACCCGAACTGTAGAGGGGAGTCCTTGTCCTACGCCGGTCTCAGTTTCTCTTGATGGATGTCCTCTTGCACCCGCTGCAACTAGCCTTTTCTGATTGGTTAGTACATTGCTGTTTCTAGCGAGGCAGACCGCAGGGGTCGCTTTTGTCGGAATGTGTTGTCATCAGTCAGTTGAGTCTGACATTTGAACGCAGGTCCACTTGCTCCTGTACTTTTGCTTGATGTGACTGTCATCACGCCTGATATTTCCGGCCTGGAGGACGTCACGGCTAGTACCCCTAAATGCTGCCTTCAAGTAGACAAAAGCGTCTCATTCAGAGCATCAGCACTGGATTCATGAGCGTGGAACGGAGAAGAGGTCCAAAGTGCCTTTCTTGGATGGCCTGAAATATCCTTGGGATGTTTTCGCGACGAGTGCGCATCATCACAGTAGGGATGAAGTCGGTGCACTTCCCTCGAGGAATATTCCTCAGGCATCGGTGGTCAGACACTTTCAGTTCTCCATACACGACAATTCGACCGTCTTATACATAGGCAGCTTGCTAAGCGTGCAACAGGCCAGACGCAGACAGTTGTTTCACGGTCGTTATCGGTCATGGGCCTTATGGATTGAGGTATATAAGCGTGTTAAGTAGGCGTTTGACCCTCACTGTTGTGGTTAGGATGTCACTCGATCCCATTATGTCCGCCCGCCAGCTTGCTACTGGCGACAACGAACGTCATACCACAATTTGGCCTCCGTTTCGGTCCAGCACATCAAGCATGGCCGGTTATGGGGAAAACACACAGCACGGCAATCACAGTCATATAGAAAGACTGAGTGCAATGATGTACAGTACTTGTGGGCCTTTACGACGATGGTGACACCGCGAAGAGCCTGTGAATACCTTCGAAGGCCTGCGAAGGTTGCGAGTATCATCGAATTGCAATAGTTCTTACTCTGCCTTCTTGACAACAAATTCGCCCTGAAGTATTCGTAACGCGACGCTTCTTCAAACCGACACATTAATTACAAAAGTTGTTTCCTTCCGGTCAGAGGTACAACTCGATTTTCGTTGACGATCAAAACGACCCCACTTATTGACCACGTTCACCCGATGCACTAAATTCCGTAGGTCGACCTAACCTGATGCCAGCAGGCTGATATTGTGGATGTGGTCAAGGCCGGCAAGTCGACATCCTGACGCAAATTGTACACCATCAAAGTCGCGTTGAACCCCTCAGAGAATCTTGTATATGCCGTAGTTAAACAGGACAGGCGTGAGGATTCAACCCGTGACGAATGCCCAGACTGTTACGGTCTAGAACTCGAGCAGTGATGAAGCGACAGCAGGCCTTTACCACAGCGATGAGTGTTGTCGGCATACCGCCTAGCACGCGGGCTCACGATTAACGGAATCAAACGCTGTAACGAAGTCAGCCAGGCGTGCAGCCGCGGATTGATGGCAGCCATGACGATGTTCAAAAGTAGGCTGCAGTGCTAATATGTGGCCGGGGCACCCCCCCTCTAGCTGGAAGCTCGACATGGTTGGGTCTCGTCGTCGAGTCAGGCGCCCTCTGAAAGTGTTCTGAGGTGTCAACAGTAAAGCTTTTGTAGTAGTGTCGATTAGCCCAATGCCGCTGGAGGATGACAAGGCCCAGTCACCAGGGACAGGTCCATTTCCCCACACCCGCCCAATCCGTACGAACACAGGATACCACTGTCGGGCCGCGACGTGGAGACTTCAACGGTGATGTCCTCTTCGGGCGCCTTGTAGCGCAGCCCTCATTATTGCACCTATTCTTTCTGCCGAGGAGAGTGATGATAGTGATAGTGATGATAGTGTAATCGGAGTTGAGATGTTTGAAGTGCTGAGACCAGCGTCCCATGCTGTCCGCTGCTCATACGGTAAACAGGGTCCTACAGTTTCAATAAGTTGTTGGGACTTTCGAGTAGAGATTGTCACTTCAGTTCAGTAGTTTTTATAATCATTCTTGTCATCATTTTCTAGAGTTCACAGAGCGCTTCATAACCATTCAATCTAGCTTTAGGTGTTTGGGCATGACTGTTGTGCTGATCCATTTGTTGCGGCGTCTGTGGGTCAATCCGAGAGTTGTTTTGGCTGTCTCGCTGACCGACGGTTTTAGCGGTGACCAGAGTGCCTAACAGGGGACATTCTGGGCTCAGATAACAAATGTACTATCAAGAGGGTTTGAATGAGAACATGGTCTGACCCACAATCTTTGTTCACCTTGGAGCCATGCACTGGACTGATATCATGCATCCAGTCACGGAACCTTGATTTGTTTTGGGATATGAGCAGTTTAACCGAATATCGTTTGAATATCAAGGCAGTAGGTGCATTCGGCGATTTTGGTTTTCGTCAATTAAATTAAACAATCACTTTTGTCGCATGGAGGAATAGACACAACTCAATCGATTAGGCGGCCGCCTAAAGAGTTTTCTGACCCATTCCGGCCACTCCAGTCATCTACGGCAATAAACTGATCAGGGAGAGGTAAGCATTCAGCCAGTCAATGTAATTGCAGGAATGAAGTTTCATGACCGTGCTGGTCGTCAGTCGATGTGTTTGACCTAGACAGAAACGGCAGAGATCTTAGTAGGGCATCATATCAATCTTGCGTACGTTCACCGCAGGGAACGCCTGACTCGCTTATCTCGCGAGGATGGTCGCTACACTGTCTACCAGGTAAGTCACAAGTCACTGAGCTTTCTATTCTGCCAATAGGGCCACAAGCGCGGTCGGGAATCACCGAAGTCACGCAGGGGGAGCTCTGATCGACCTGCTTGGACTGCAGGACGAAATACTAGTCGTCGATTCCGGCCCGCAGCCCCCATTCGTAAGTCCTCGAGGGCGACCCCATAGAGAGGGTCAACCAGCCATTGTGAAATATTAGCCACAAGCACAAAGGAAATTGGAATTACCAATTCCGTTTTGTCTTGTCATAGTCAGTTAATCATACCCTAGTCTTTGAACGGGATCTACTGGTTATTGAGCCAGTGGACCCCGTGCTGCATGATTATTCAGGGCCTCCAGGTCCGGCCTGTTCGCATTTCGGGATACGGGCGTTCGTTTTATCTTTGACATTCCACCTACTTATAGTCGCTGTAGTCCGCTGCCATACACCATTCCCTAATCGGGGAGATTCACGAACGCCATGCCCACGTGACTTTAAATATTTAGTAGGAAACTTGCCTGTCTGTTCACGAATTGCGGCTTATAACAGGAGGGGGGAGGGGGGGGGGAAGAGGGGAGCGTAGCTGTATTCCATCCACCGCACTTACCTGTCTTACCCTCTCCCATCAGTGAAGCGGACAGCAACATAAGCCGTGCCAACCTCTTCTATTCAGTCCTCTTCTCATAAACACGGGTTTTCTATAAAAAAAAGCAGGCAGGAAAATGCATTCAAAACACATT